CCAATTATTTTGAACCAATGTGGTATTTAATTGGAGAAAAAGAGATTTTTTCCGCTGCTAAAGAAATTGTTGATTCTCCAGTTATTTTGAACCAATGTGGTATTTAATTGGAGAAAAAGAGTTTTGATATGATTATGATGTTGTTATTTTCTGACCAACGTTGTTAATAACAATATCGTAATTTTAATGATTTATGCATTGATTCTATTTCTGCCCAACGGTGATGTAGAATTAGTGTATAAGAACAGATGTTAATTTTAATGATTTATGCATTAATTCTACTTCTGCGCAACGGTGATGTAGCATTAGTGTGTAAGAACAGTTGTGAAAGTTAAAGATTTATGCATTAATTCTATTTCTTCCCAACGGTGATGTAGAATTGGTGTATCAGAATAATTGTATGTTTTGATTTTGACCAACGTTGGAATCAAGGCATGCAAATGATGTTATTTTATGTTAAGAAAAGTTTTAACCTGATTTTTCATCTTGTCTAAGGTGGACTGGGTAGTCACCTCACCGTGTTCCACTGAGTTTGTGGCACAGGTGAGGGAGATAAAAGAGAATGATGCCGATTAGGCAACTAAAAAAAGAAGGGGATTTTGAATCCCAAAAGATGTTCTATGACTTTTGAGCATAGGAAGTGGGTCACTGCCAACAAGAAATGTTTGGCTGTGATAAAGAACATGATTGAACCTGTAATTGTGGGCTCAATCCCAGTGTGTGACACGATCACCGAGTACCTCGATAGAATAAAGAGTCAGTTCACCGGCTCTTCAAAGACATATGCCCCACAGTTGATAAAGCAGCTGGTGACAGAGTGTTACTCTGGAAATGGTGGCATAAGAGAGCTCACGATGCGTTGTCGAAATTATGGCACTATCGTTCAGGCCATATTTCGAGGGGGAGAATAGAAAGACAAGTTAAGAATGATATTCTTCCTCCATTAGAGCTCTCAGATTAAGAACAATGCAGAGAATGCATAAAAGGAAAGTATGTAAAGAAAGATGATAAACGAAGCACAGGAATTTTATAGATTATTCACACTGACATATGTGGTCAGCTTTTCTGTAAAGAGTGTGAATGGTTATGATTCATTCATAACATTCACATATGATTACTCCCATTATGGCTATATTTATCCAATCAAAAAAAGAAAAGATGTATTGGATAAATTTAAGTTATTAAAGATTAAGATAGTCAGGTCTGACCGTGGAGGAGTACTACGGTCGACATACCCTAAATGAATGGCATAGTAGCCCAGTATTCTATACCGGATGAACCTCAGCAGAATAGAGTAGCTAAAAGAATCAATCGCACCCTGATGGATATGGTGGGCAGTATAATAAGTTACTCCACCTTACAGTTGAGCATGTGGATGGAGGCGTTAAAACCCCATTCATACTCTCAAAAGAGTACCAAATAAGTCGGTGCCCAAAATACCGTATGAGTTGTGGACAGAAATAGTGCTCTCACTAAACCACTTGCATGTGTGTGGGGGAGCCCTGCTGAGGCTAAAGTATTTAACCCAAACATTGGGAAGTTAGATCCCAAAACAGTAAGGTGCCATTTCTTTGGCTACCCAGAAAAGTCAAAAGTTTTTCGTTTTCTACTGTCCAGGGAGACATACAAAGTTTGTGGAAACGAGACACGCTGTCTTCCTAGAGGACGAAAAGATGAGGGAGAGCATGGTAGCTCGAGAAATTGACCTTGAAGTGAAGCGGGTGTATGCGCCCACTCCAATGATTTATGAGCCAATTTTCTCACTACATGCTGTAGCTGCACCGACAGTGCTAGATACTGTGGTGCCAGCACATGTTGTTATCCCACCTGTGGCAACAATGAATGACGATGAGGAACATGTTCTTCAGGATTCTATAGAACCTATTACCACACATGAGGGGGAGCAACAACAGCCTCAAACAGAAGATGTGCCAAAAGTGGAGGCCCCTAGAAGGTCTCAAAGAGTTAGAAAATCAGCTGTTTCTGTTGATTATGAAGTGTATAACACTAAGAAATTTCAAATGGAGGATAATCCCACCTCATTTGAAGAAGCCATGAGAAGTGATCATTCATCAAAGTAGCTTGAGGCCATGGAAGATGAAATGAAATCAATGAATGCCAATATAGTTTGGGACTTGGAAATAATTCCTAAATAAGCCAAAACAGTAGGCTGTAAATGGGTCTACAGAACAAAACTTGGCTCTCAAGGGAATATAGAGAAATATAAAGCGCGACTTGTGGCAAAAGGCTATATGCAAAGAGAAGGGATTGATTACAATGAGACATTTTCTCCAGTCTCATGTAAAGTTTTTTTCAGAATCATAATGGCATTAGTGGCACATTACGATTGAGAATTACATCAGATGAATGTAAAGACGGCATTTCTCAACGGAGACTTGGAGAAAAATGTTTACATGGCACAACCAAAAGATTTTGTCATGGACAGAAAAGAACGAATGTGATGCTGCCTAAACAAATCCATTTATGGATTAAAACAAGCTTCAAGATAGTGGTACTTGAAGTTTGATCAGACAATAAAGAATTTTGGGTTTAAAGAGAATGTAAAGGACAATTGTGTCTATACAAAGTAAAGAGAATGTAGAGGACAATTGTGTCAATACAAAGTTTAAGAATGAGAAGTTTATCTTCCTTGTCCTGTATGTAGATGATATCTTACTTGCTAGTAGTGATGTCAGTCTACTACTGGAGACAAAGAAATTTGATATGAAAGATCTTGGCGAAGCCTCGTTCGTTCTAGGGATTGAGATTCACCGAGATAGAAGAAAATAGGTATAATGACTGTCACAAAAGGCATACATGGAAATGATCTTAAAGAAATTCAGTATGCACAAATATAGTCCCTCACCTGCTCCTATAGTCAAGGACGACAGATATGGGGATTTTCAATGCCCTAGGAACCAATATGAGCTCAATCGATAAAGTAAAAGTGGTTCCATATGCTTCAGCTGTCGGAAGTTTGCAACATGCTCAAGTATGTACGCGCCCTGACTTGGCATTTGTTACCGGGTTTTACTTGGCAGATTCCAGAGCAATTCTGGAATAGAATACTGAAATTAGTAAAGAAAGTCTTGCAGTATTTGCAAGGAACGAAAGGTCTCATGATGACATATAGAAGATCTGATTCACTTCACATGGTGGGATATTCAGATTATGATTATGTGAGAGTAAATGCATATCCAGACGTGGATTTTCTATCATCTCGCAAAGGGGAGCTATTTCATGGAAAAGCTCAAATGCAAACTGTCACTACATCGTCCACAATGTATTACAGTTTGTAGCGTGTTATGAGGCAACGGGCAGGTGAACTAACTAACGAAGTTCATACCCGGTTTGAAGGTGGTTGACGACATCTATAGACCACTAAAGTAATACTGCGATTATAATCTGGCAGTACATGATGCTCACAACATAAGTCAAGTGTTGCTGCCAAACACATTGACATAGAGTATTATGTTGTGAAAGATAAAGTCTGGGATCAAGTCATAAGTCTTGAGCATATAAGAACAGAAAGGATGCTCGTGGATCCGCTTACAAAAGGCTTACCACCCAACATGTTCAGAGGACATAGTGTTCAGAGAACATGTAGCTAGCTTGGGTTTAAGGGAAAGCCTAAAATATTTCTGGACAAAAGAAGGCCCAAAGATAAGTATCTATTTCAGAACAGAGTAGTGAGTTGTAGCTGTTAAGCCTATCGGCAATGGACCGTGACGATGAGACATGCTCTATGAGTTAATCTGTAATGGAATGAACAAAAGTAAATGATATGAAAGTAAAAGATGGAATGAGATCAAGGGGGAGAATGTTAGTTGATCTCCACCAATAGGCCTAACGGTCTATTGGGCCCTTGGCTCTGCTCCCTGATCGGGGAAGCCCAACCCTAACTAGTTGGTGGGCCCCTGTCGCACAGCACATACAAATAGAGAAGGTGGGGATCGAGCTCGAAACGAGGTTCAACGGAGCCGCCTTTCCCACCGACAGAGAACCCTAAACCGATCCAAAGAGCTGCTGCCAGCGACGGGATGAGCTGCCGCCTCCTTCCGCCCCTGCGGGGACACCGCCAAGCGTCACTGGACCCTCATCTCGTGGCGGCCGATGGGCGTCTTCTACATCATGCACAGACCGGCTGCGGTGCATCTACTGAGAAGGCGAGGAGTCTATCCGGATCTACGGGTCACACAGAGGTACTAATCCTGATCCTAACACTGCCATGACTGTTCGGCTGGTATTAAAACCGACTGATAAGTTGGTCTTGACTGATTTATTGTGAGAAAAAAATACTGTAGACTCGAAGTGATAAGCCGGCTGAACAGGCCACGCAGACTCTCACGACGTACTCCTGTTTACGAGCTAGTACAGGCGACAGGACCACTCACAGTCACACGGTGGCGCCCATATACGATACGATGACCAAGGATACGAGCTAGAACAGGCGACAGGACCACTCGACGGCCGTGTGACTGTGAGTGGGCGCCAACAAACGGTGGCGCCCATATACGAGCTAGTACAGGCGACAGGACCATTCACAGTCACAATCAAATCAAGCCGTCGAAGCGCCACCACAACCTCCAAAAGTTTAAGCCCCTTGATTTGATTTGATCCGCACCGCACGAACAACGTGCCGCGACCTGACGCGGTAGATGATTTCTTTGAAGTTTTACTTAGCCAACAAACGAGGCAAGCACCGGGCAACAACAGCTGCTAATCAGCCGCTGACACCATAATTACGACGCCCTCTCTCCTTCGTCGTCCTCCGCTGCCTTGGTGGCTCGTTCCTGCTCCTCCTTACTCTACCTGACCAGCGCCCCAGCTGGGACAGAGTCCACGACGACGACCTTTCTTTCCCCCCTCTGCCTGTCTCCGGATCCTCCCCTGCTCGCTCGATCGACTCCCTCCCCGCCGAGTCCAGAAAAATCAGATCGACCGAGTCGCCGTGAAGCCGCCGAGAGAGCACAGAGCAAACAGCGAGCGACGCAGGCAGCATGAAGTCTATGGGCACCCGCGACAAGCTCACGGCGGCGTCGGGCCACCGCCGCGTCCTCTTCGTCGTCTTCGCCTTCTGCTTCGCCTTCGCCACCTTCCTCACCTTCCTCTACACCACCTCCCACTTCACGACCGCGCCGAGCTCCGGCTCCGCCACGGGGTCCGCCGCGGCCTCAACCACCACCTCCGTCTCCAGCGGCAACAGCGGCGGCCAAGCAGGGTTCGAGTCCGGGCTGCCGCTGCCGGTGTTCGAGGCGCTGGTCCACTTCGCGTCGATCTCGAACGCGACGCACCGGATGTCGGACACGGACATCCGCGCCATCTCCGCGGTCCTCCGCGCGCGCGCGCCCTGCAACCTGCTGGTGTTCGGGCTGGGCGCGGAGTCCCCGCTGTGGCTGGCGCTGAACCACGGCGGGCGGACCGTGTTCCTGGAGGAGAACGAGTTCTACGTCAAGTACCTGGAGCCGCGGCACCCGGGGATGGAGGCGTACGACGTGTCCTACACCACCAAGGTGCGGGACTTCCGGGACCTGCTGGCGGCGGCGCGGGCGGCGCGGCGGAAGGAGTGCCGCCCCGTGCAGAACCTGCTCTTCTCCGAGTGCCGCCTCGCCATCAACGACCTGCCCAACGACCTCTACGACGTGCCCTGGGACGTCGTGCTCATCGACGGGCCGTCCGGGTGGAACCCCAACTCGCCCGGCAGGATGCCATCCATCTTCACCACCGCCGTGCTGGCGCGCTCCGGCGCCACCGCCGCCAAGGGCCGCCCCACCGACGTGCTGGTGCACGACTTCCAGTTCGAGGTGGAGCAGGTGCTCAGCAGGGAGTTTCTGTGCGACGAGAACCGCGTCGCCGGCAGCGGCACCCCGTCGCTCGGCCACTTCGTCATCCATGGGGGCGGGGCCGGCGACGCCTTCTGCGCCGGACAGGAGGACGCTGGCTCGTCGGGGGAGAAGACGCGCCGCCGCCGCCGCAAGTAAATTTTACTTGTCAGTCTCTTTTGCCACGGAGCCGCCAGCCACCTCCCTTCCTGGCTACGCTAGCTAATCTTCTGCGCTCCTCCTCACCCAGCTGTTTTTTTTTTCTTGCATATATACGTATGTTTGTTGTTTTGTTACTGGGGGCTAGAACTGTACGAACAACCCTGGTAATATGATTGCCTCCATCACCCAAAAAAAGAAAAAAAAGAAAAAGAGACGAGACGAGAAGTGATGTAGCAACAACCCTGAAAATATATATACTATCTAGGAGCTTTACACATCACTCTTCACATTACATTGACAGAGAAAAGGATGTGATCATGCAATGGCAAATCTGACGGTTTGTACGAACGATTTGGTAGCTGCGTGCTGCTGTTGGTGCCTCGGTGGTGGCGGTGAGACGGCGATTGCCGAACGGGATCCAGGTCCAGGATGAACAAGGAACGAGCAACGGAATTTGTGGCGGTGGTTGGATCTCGTCTCAGTCCAGTGGCTTTTCCTTTTTCCCCGTCCGGTTGCGATCGCCAGGCGGTAAAGCGGCTTCTTCGTCTCACTCGCCCGCCCCGATCTGATGCGCTGCGCTGCGCTGCGCATGTGTTGGTTCGTTTCGGATCAGCGAGCATCGTCGCATCGGTGATGAGTCACCAGAGATCTGTGACGCCCGCGCGCCGCTCGCTTGTTGTCCGTGCGGCCGCCGGCGGTTTCGTTAAAAGTTGGCCGTCTTTTTACAGCAACGTGCATGTGATCGGACCGCCCAACCACTCGTGCTCATCGGCTCATCCCTTGCCTGCCTGAAAATGGGGAACCTGTGTCGCCGAAGCGGCCACGAGCTGACACCGACCCCCCACTCTACTCCTTCCTCTTGCGTCTTGCGGTCTTGCCTACCCTCGCACAGGCACAGTCTCACGCACTGACGAAAACAAGCGAAACTGGCATCGCACGTTAACGACCAAGCGTTAAAGGACCTTTTCGAGCTTTGATGACCACGTCGTGCCCTGTTCTGCATTGCATTATACAGTAATTTGGCTATGGCATTGCCTGCTGCCACCTGCTCGTCGTCAGATCAGATGTGCTGCTGCTTGTCTCCTCCCGTGTGCCGTCTGCCGTGGCTAACTGGCTATGGCCTATGGCTAGATTTTCTCCTATCCTATGGTTGTAGGATTAGACTGGCTCCAACAACTCGTATAGAACAATTATAATTTGGATAATGGCACGGTACGAACGGGCGGCGTTACAGGCTGCCCCACCGGCGGCCACCCGTTTGGTGCTGGTGACTCTTTTAGGCAAGCTCGGCCCGGTGAGTCGGTGACATTCCAACTAACCTCTCCAACTCCAACGCCTAACGTCGACAGTTTTCTGCCTACCTGGTTAAGAAATGGAATTGAGAATTCCGTAGTAGTGACAGAGGTCAGAAACTACCGGCCTATGATAACCGAGTTTGTTGGATGGCCAAATTCTTACACAAAGTACGTGATGTGTACTAGTGTTACGAAGATGATATCAGTGCAGAGGATTAACTAGTACTGCCTCTCTCATTAAAGATATGTAATTATAATTCTGCCTTTACTCAAATTATTTAAAGTTTAACCAAATTTATAAAAAAACATCGCTATTGAAACATATTACATGAAAAAATTAATAACAGTATTTGGCATCACAGATATCGATACTTTACATATATAGTGTAAATTTAATCAAACTTAACACGCTTTACCTCACTATTATTTTTAAAACTATAATCATTTATTGATGGAGTGAGTACTCTTGTGCCATTAATAACCAATATACAATATACACCGCTCATATTCGTCGTTACCGGCTGAGTTTCCCATTTACAAGTTTGCAAACACGCACAAAAAAACCCAGTTTCATTTAGAAATGGACGTGCCCGATTTGGGCGGACATGGGACAAAGTACCGCTACCACCACGTTTTACTGCATCCAGGGTGTCAGTCTTGAACAGTTAACTCGGTCATGTTCGGCATGCGTACCGAGTAAAGCTCAATTTTCAGCTTCATTTGGTCAGGAAGCACCACATCATGAAATGGACTTAGGCCGTCTTCGGCTGGCCCTTTTTTTTTGGCTGAACTGCAGCTATGGCTAAATCATCCAACCAATAAGCTACAGCCGGCAGCAGCAGCATCCAGCCAGCTGGTGATCAGAACCAAGATTCAAATGACAGTCAAGCAATTCAAATTTTGGCACCAACCCAACATAAATACAAAAGTTGGCGTCAAATGACAACCAAGTCAAACAACAGTAAATAACAGTTCCAACACACAACCTCCATTAGCATTTTCTTAAGAGCTACTAACAGTGGATTACAACTACAAATCACTATTACATTACACATAAGAGGTCCATACAAGCTATTACAATTACAGTCTCATACAAAGTTCTGAATTACATGTACAGACATCACATACTACATAGGTGCAAGGTCGTGCAGTGCAGATTACAATACCATTACAACATTCTCTACATAGGCATGACTGGAACATGTACAAAAAATTATAGCCATTCGAACAAGCTACATATTGGACAGCAAGAAGAAGAGAGGCATATACCAAAACCTCCATCTTCACCCTTCTCTTCGTGCCATCGTCAACTCCAACCACACCATGGCCTTACTACTACACCGTCACCTGCATTATCACGCAATCGAATAGCAATGAAATTTGTGCACACATACTGTTGAACTTGTATCACAACTTCAACAACGCAACACCCGAAATTGCCATACCTACCAACTACCCTACCAAGATACCAAAGGCGATCCAATCTCGCACATCAGACATATCATCACTAGCATTTGTTGCCACCCATGCGCCGGCGTCGTAATCTGCATCTCTTTGCTAGATCCTCTGTGAAGCCCTTCCTTCGCCGTGTTCCAACTCCCAATTGTGCAGCGCAAAGCATGCAATGATAAGCTTTGTTTGCTTCACTCTCTCAAAATACAGAACTAGGGCGAGAATGTGTCACTTGCCTTTGAGTTGCCCAAATGCCCGTTCGATGACATTGCGCAGACTTGAATGGCGGAAGTTAAATTGCTCCCCATAACCCGTTGGAGCTGCGCTGTCCCTGAACTCATTAACATGGTACCTTGCATTTCGATAAGGGCCCAAATATCCTTTTTCACGGCATATCCCGAGTCGACCAGATAGTACTTTCCTGCAAAACAACATATATCTCCACCATTACTTACACACATATCACAGCAAGTATCCAAGCAATCACGTACAGCTAAAAAACTAACCTTCTAGTGGGTGCGGATAAGTTGGTGTCTCCAAACACTCTGTCAGCACTGACATGTCATGACTGGCCCCTGCCCTCCCCACACCGACATATGTGAACCTCATGTCCATGTCGCATATGGCTAGCACATTGTAGCTTGTATAGCATTTCCTATTTATGAAGTCCAATTTTGACTGACGACTAACAAGAGCTCAAACGTGAGTCCCATCTAGAGCCCCTATGCACCCATCAAAGTAAGGTGCATACGACAACAGGCCTCCATGTACTTTTCTAAACTCTGGATCCTTGGGACAAATAACATATTGTGCCAATGAGAACAGGCAATTCGCAACATGACCCATCTTCCTACTAACTGTGTCCAAGGACCGGTTAAATCTCTCCCTAACCTGTCTATACGACTGTCGACATGCACAAATCCAAACAAACATAGCTAAAGTTTCCCAGACCCAAGTTCTTGTGTACTTTTGAGGTCATGATCTCTCACTAAGGTATCGTGCAACCTAAGGAATGCGTCCGGATACATACGGAAGTTCTCATAGCACTTAAGTCGGCTGCGCAAATTCAATTCAACCCATTGCGCACTTGTGGGCTCGGCCAAAGGGATGTGAGGATTCACGTGAACAGGTTCATTAGCACGCAGCGCCTCTGCATATGCTGCAACCGCGGCTCCAAGCGCCGCCAACTGGAGAACGGCATAGTTGTCATCACTTGAACTATCGTTCTCGTTGCAGTCATCAACGTTGCGCATCCTGCAAAGATCAAATGAGTTAGTGACTTCTCAAATTAAACAGCAGCATCAGGCAGTTCTTCGACAACAAGAAATGGAAACGAGAAATTATTGTAGACAGTGGCTTCTGATCAGACAATTGCACTCTTCATAAACAAAATCCAAATGCTATAGAGAAAAGTATTTACATTTGAGCAGCCAATTGCACTATCCTTATTCATTATGTACCAAACACAGTATACAAGCACTAGCAGTAGCTATTTTAATTTAATAAAGTAAAGGGCAATGCATTTATTTGGCTACTGCAATACTGCACCACCTCGTTCAAGTAAAGATTTATGATGCCGCCCTATGATTTACAAACTACGCACAAGGTTGCCTTTTAAGGATGGTTCTATCATGGCCATATCTTATTTTATATACTGCAACTGATCAGCCCAAGCAGAAGCAGCCCATCAGCCAGCAACACAGCAGCCGAACACGGCCTTAATCCGTTGTACTTTTATATCTGTTTCTGTTATTGGCGAGAAGGGAACTAACCCAATGAGAATATATACAGATTGCTCGTGATCCAAGGACACTATACTTATATAAATTGTACACAATCGTCTCCAGGCAATAATCAGTCATACGAATTATTAGTTTGCTGTGAAATAAGGACAATAGACTTTACATTTTTTCCCTGGAGAAAGAAAAAAAAAAGTTGAGTTTGTTCGAACAAGGAAGGAGCCAGAAAGCAAGTCCAACTTTTCAATCATTCATGTCAAGCTTAGCTTCAAGTCTTTTACGGTAGCTCGATCTTGATATGAGCGAAACCGAGTCAAATTCTCAGTCATAATTTTTGCTTATATGATCACTATTAAATAGTAAATGTTATATTATGGTAGTTTCGGTGAAGCTGAGCAAAACATTTGTTTCGGAAAAACAAACAAAGGAAGCTAGCGTCCAAAATTGTCTTCCAACCCTTACGACACTTGAAATTATTATGGTGGGCTATTACATATGTCACGTTTACTGA